TAAATGCTAAACCATTGATCCGCTTACGTCACATGACCCGCGGGGATAATTTTTCTGTTCTCGAGAAACTGACCACGTGACAATATTACATCCATATTAGTACTGACCCATAAGCTCCATATAATACAGTTTCTAAATGTAATATACCTTGCAAAGCTTATCTACCCGCTGTATATGAATACATGTATACAGTGTATACCCAGTGTATATGAAGCAATATGTTTCAGCTTAACGTACATGCCGGAGCTATTCTGAATGTATTTGTTACCACGATGTGCAATGTACAGCCTTACTAAGTTGATATCAGGTACGTTTACTATATTAGAATCTGAACTATCCTCAATCTCATTTAATGCGTTTTTGCGTTCCTACAATTAAAATCTTGTTTGATTGCCGAAGTGAAGAATAAGACGCTGATATCGTTATCTTCGGATTAATATTCTTTGGAATTTGAAGTCCGTAATTGAAATGGCTCCACTGAGATATGGCGTTCATCTTATTAATGTATATAACATGATCTCAAGCTGGAACATGTTGGAGTTCTATGACATGTTACGATTAATGCAGGGTATAAAATGATTGATCTTAGCAATCACGTACACCTATTGTAGTAAATTGATTGATTATAAAACGTCAGCTATATTACAGACGAGTGTAAATTTAGGAGATAAACATTATGTGTTTATTATTTGAGGGTGTTGTTGAGTTTTGGATGTCCCGAAATTTTTTTTTTGAAGACGGCGGTGTTAGTGGTAGGTTAAATTCTTGCAGTTTCCGTAATTTTCTATAGCACTTATCATTACATGAACTCATAGCAGTGACAGGCATGACGTCACGCAGGAATGTCAGTACGTCATGATGACGTCATGCATTTACGTAACAACTAACCTGTCTGTTTAGCAGACTGTAGGCAAAAGCGAATAGTTCAGCTCAAACGTGTTGTGTATAGGTGTAGTATCCGTTTTGCTGGAACGAGTTTTATTTCCTGTTCTTTTTCAAATTTAGTATGGAGATATAAACAAAAGACGCACCTCAACAAATGTATTCATATGCAGCACACATCCCCATTCAGATGACCAAAGAAACTATTTCATATTGCTGAGCATTGGAAGAATATTTAAAAATACGATGGGGTAGATGCAGAGTTGCGCCCCTTAGGTGAAAGGCTCGGCTGGCCTTGGGTTCGAATGCCAGAATCATCCTAATTATGATCCTTGTTTTCACAACATACAAGTGCAGGTCGTTGGTAACACCTCAACTGGCTTACTCTTCACTGGAGCCGTAAGTCGGGTCAGGTAGCTGTCGATATTGGTGCAGGTAATTCTAAACATTGCACACACACGGGATTGGCACTAACCCACCATTATGAATAACTTACAATCACCAGCACAAAACAGTTGCTATTGTAAAGATCCTGCCAACAATGGAGGCACCCAGTGGAACTATCTGTATGGTTCAAACTCCAGCCCAACAATACTTCTTGAAAGTAACACAAAGCTCCACCAGCCAGTAACAATGCAACAAAAGCATATTGATAAACAAGAAATTATCTTTATAAATATTTAATATCAGTAACGATTTAATAACTATAATCAACATACTTGTATATTGCATTTTTCGAAGTCTCTCGCCCATGGTATCATTAGTACGCATGTCAGTGGCTGGATCTAATACAGGATGTACTGTAGTGTATTCGGGTGTACTCTGGTGGGAAGTCATGCAAGTCACTCGTTCACTTGTCTGTCGCATTGATTTCCATCTGTCATTTGTGAGTCTAGAGTTAAGCTAGTTTCCCACATATATTATTTACTCACAACCAACACTGTATATGTCCGTCTTTGAAGTGCTCAGGCAGGTAGCTTTCTGATGCCGCCTTTTAGCAGAGTCGAAGGATTATGATTGTAAATATTTAAGTCAACAAAGTCTGTGGTGAACATTCCTGGTTTTGTAGGTAACAGACAAACGTCTGTACCTGCTTCAAGCTGATGATTGTATTCAGTGGTAGATGTGAGTCACAGACGTGGATAGATATAAGCACTGTGTAGGGGTTTTCCTTTCACTCATAGATGTATTTCTATTGAAGTCCACTCAAGGGTACCGCCCCTATGATAAATAAAGGCCTAGGTGTATAAAAGACAGGAAGACGTGCGTTGTGATGGTGCATGTGGGAAATTTAACATCCATACTTCTAGCAGTAGTTGGTATACAAACTAAAAGGTGTCTTACTAGGCGAGTCAGAATTAAGTTTACACCGATAATATGCACTTTGCAAATTGTACTTATAGACTGATAATCAATAAACAGCAACGACGTGCACTGTACGCTACGTCCCTGGGTGTCTTCAGTTTTTGAATTGTAATTAGACCTAATATTGCTAATGTATAATACTTATAAGCAGTATTAAGACTTTGAGTGACATGTAGAAGTGATGTACCCAAGAACGAAACTTTACTGGCTGTCAACGGACGAAACGTTGTGTTCCTCATAACTGAGATGTGGACACCCATGAATTCTCTCTCTTACGAATTGTGAGTGAGGGAGTTACGTTTTTAGTCAGTATTCCAGCCATATCGTTACTAAAACAAGTTGTATATTTATGATAATAAGAACCTGCTGACAACGGACAGTAAAAGCAACTAGAATATCACAGATATAGATATAATACAAGCACATAACCTTAAAACTATGTTACTATTGGAAACTATATAACATAAAACGGGCTATAGATCGCCAGCAGTTGAAGGTAGATCACCCTACTAGAGACTTGTGTGAATAGCTTTGTTAGGTACTGAATGTTGTTACCAGTGTAATATGATTTAAAAGTGAAAGAACATATTTTATTTGATTATGATAACTTTATTGTCACTGAAATTCTGAACATTTCGAAGCTCATTCATCCAATCGTGTAGGCAATTACTACCAAAGCTACACAATGAGATGTACATTTGCCTACATTACCACGAGTGATAGACCTGGCGTCCTGTCTGAAAGTATGTAGATATATACCCAAGTTTTCACATTCCGACATTGTGAAGGCCGTTATGATTCAATCTGAAACACAATAACGGGTGTACATTTCTACCTACCTCAGTGATATCGGGGTGATATGTAATTATATTTCCACCGTATCATTAAAGACGTGTCACAAGCCGACAATTGGATGTTCTCAGGCAATACAATAATGGCGGACGGTTTGACACTGTTACTAGATGTTAGCTATGAACACGTAACACGCAGTTAACTAGAGGTATTTCAGTTGTACGTTTCTGGGTGTTATCACAATCATAAAAGTGTCCCTGGCGAACTTCATTACACGTTGTGGTCCAACAGAGGTATTTAACGTACATCTGTAGCATGCTAATGAGGTGTTGTGACACGCCATGCTTGACTGACGTGTGTACATAGCACAGTAAAGTCATCTATTTCACCCACCTGGGAGTCTTAAGTTTTACGTTGCCTATTGTGTTGCTGGATTGGTGGGCGTGCATGTTAACGTTGGGAATAGTGGCATTATTTGTCAGACCAATATACTATTTAGTGGGTAACGAGGTCGGTTTAAAGTTCTAATTACATCATAGGAAGCAGTACATAATTACGTCACTGGTAGCTACTATTTGTTGCATTGTGGTCGTCTAAACGATGTTTATCTTTGTAACGAGTGTGCATCAGAACGTGGGCTAGTTTGTCTATATCAAATGAGATCTTGATAGTGTGAAGTCTAATGGAATGCCACGTACATTAGCACAGCAAGCTCCTGCCTACTTTGTCTGTGAATAATTACGTTAAATAATCATCTACAGTATGTCAACTATTAGTCTGTAATACAGACCCTGAACAAATACATCCAAGAAAGCACATGCAAGTCTAGAATATGTATCAAGTCTACATTTCCACTGGTTTTGAAAATCTCAGGGCTCCTTTTCATTATATTATACTTTTTTAGTATTTTTCTGTAAAATATGTTCATTTCAGAGACTAGTTGTTAGTCTAGTCCACTATCGACATCTTCCATTATTTCTAGACTCAGGTTGCATGTGCGTGTAAGCGTAACTAGATACTCCATAGCTTATCGTAAATCTATGCCGTATATTTACAAACAGGTTTTCAACAAAGGACAGACAGAGGTCTTCTCCAATTAATTTTCTGAAAAATACACAAGTGTTGGGATAAAAAAAACACATACAAACTTGTCTCATTTGCCCATCCTTGTCCTCGTTTTGAGATCGTTAGGATATAAATATTTCAAATATAATGGATACTTTATTCGCTGTATTCGTTGTACTCATAACCACCGTTATGACATTATTATGAACCTTTATGTAGTGCAATGCGTAACAGTCTAATAAATACATTTATATTATCCCTTTAAATATATACGATTTGGGCTTTGAATTACTGACAAAATATTTATCGAGATAAATTATCTGCTAATGTCCGAACCATCTGTAATCATGATGGCTGCCAAACTCTATACGTATTTGTTATCATTGTGATTATCACAGTGTTTGGTGTGTAATGATATGATAAGGAATGAAATGATAACACTTAGATGTTATCGTTACCGTAACTGATAGACTAGACTAGTGTGTTAAGCGTGTTTGTCCGTCTTTCCATCTGTCATCGTAATCCAGTGCCTCTTGTTCCCCAATATCCCATCTTATCTACACGTTTTTATCCAGCCCTGTCTCCGTTCTCGTCATCTCGATCCCCAGCTTCGACGCTCTAAGACAATATTATCACAACCTCTCCACCCCACCCTGCCACCACGTTTCTGACAGGTCTTGGCAGGTCTAGCGCCAATGTGATGGTGTTGATAGTCAGGATTAGACGCAGCCATTCTGTCTCCAATTAAATTAATTATTATTTCAGAGTCGTGTCTGTTATACATTTCAACACATACATGATGAAGTATTATTGGTTGTAAGGATGAGCGATTAACGAGGGTAGCGTAACAAATGCATGGTTATAAAAATATTGATATGTTATTGATTCTATTTCAGTTAGACCTCCGAGAGCAGAGTGGGGAGCTGACGCGGCAGATGTGGTTGTTGTATGTTACATTTGAAGACGTCATTTGTATCAACCATCCACACCGTGCAGCAGCACTGTTGGCGACATCAGTCGACATCGACCACTACCTGCATCGTCCTGTAGGCGGAAGAAATCGCCTACCCGTTAGTGGAGATAAGAGGACAGGGATAAGAAGGAAAGATAACGCTCTCAGAAGGAAGAGGATAATTAGGTGTGATCATCAAGGCTTGAAAGACCCAGTAGGGCGCCATCCTTCTAACGTTTGCCGCTCTGATAAATGTGTTGCATGCAGATGTGGTCCTGAGCTGAATCAACAGTCGTCTGAAAGGTCTTGTTTAGATCGACAACAGATTGCCAGCGTAGGACTTGTTTCATTGGACGTTTCCGTGTCTTACAGAACAGATTTTGAATATAACGATCAATCAAGTTGTTTCGTTGGATGTAAAGGGTTTGGTGTGGATGGACATCGTCCTGACTTGGGGCACGTGGAGTGGACAAAGGGGGTAATAAGACGCCGGCCCGTGGGTAGAGGTTCGTGTAAAGTGACAGGTGATACTACAAGTGGGTTCTTCACACAGGACCCTAAAACAAATGACTGCGATCGTGGGCGTGTTATCAATGACCCACTAGACAATAGGACCACTGGACAGTTCCTGGACAAAGAGAGTAAGGTTACTGGACACTCAACACTAATGCGATCGGTCAGCGGAAAAAGGACTGGCCAATTTGTGGCTGGCAGCTCATTGGTCAGCCGAGCAAATCGCCACGGTCAATCAGGTCACGCTTCATTACGTGCCGATTCAGCTGGGGGATTTGGGTCGGCTAAGGAACAAATTCGTAACACTTTCACCAACCACAGCAGCGAGATGAACGGAGGCCCAGTGGCTGTCCAGCAAAGCGCTTGGCACTGCAGGAATGATTATAGTTTAGCAAGGGCTGTACCCGGTCACAGAGTGACCCAGCCAGTGTCTCACCCACCCGCCAGTCCCGTCTGTAGACCCGACTGGAGCAGACGACCCGCTGGAACACACCGAGCTGCAGTTAAGGAGCAGGGCAGCTATATGCATCAGATAAAACAAACCAGTTCGGGATACCAGTCGGATATGTTGTCAGTGATAACACAGACGGGTTTCACTCGTCAGGTGCATAACAGGCCCGACACTGTTTACAGATCGGATCGCGCAGCACGCAGAATGAACGAGTGCAGAGTAGGGAGGAAGTCGAGCCCGGTAGCAGACGACACACAACTGTCACCAGTCACCATATCGAGCGGGTATGAAAGCGACTCGATCCCGTCTCCCGTTCAATCAGAACTGGACAAGTTTAAGAGCTGTGTCAACACGGACGATGACCACACGGACTATTTCTCTCAGTCGGACACTTACCCTAAGTCAGATACACGGGATAATCAAACACAAGAGGGTACATGTGGAACATTGCCATTGAAGGTGAGATCTAAACAAGCACCATTCGCACCAACTCTCGGTAAATCACGCTTTGTGAGATTTGGTCAACATCATAATGCCATACTTCCCAGCTCTCAGTCAGGGCAGCACCCTTCAATATGTCATAAACAGAGTCACAAGTTGGCTAAAGTGACGAGATCTATGTATGCGATTATTCATGATCTTCAAAACGAGAATGCCTCGAGGAAGATGAGACGGCATTCGAGTGACGCAGTTAAGGAAAACCGCTCATGTGGGTGTGAGGATGGAACAGTGTCAATGTCACCCATATTCAGCCCCGAACTTCGATCCAGGGCAGATGTGCTTGTAACTCAAAGCGAATCTGAAGAAAATCTGCACGTGAGATACCAAGATTCTAAAGCAGACGACACCCCCACACGGACCGACTCGGCGTTTAACGATCCGAGCTTAGTTTCATCCAATGAACGATACTCCCAAATCAGGAAGCAACAATGTGCTTTGTCAGGTGTAACACAAAGGTTATTCAATATGGATATACGACAACAAAGTGCTTTTGAAGATGATAGCATTAAACCAGCTGATCGAGCAGACGATAACCAGCGACTTGATCAGGTCATGCGTGGGTCGCCCCGGCAGGGAACAAAATGCTCGAAAACCAGCGAAGCGCGAAGTGACAATGAACATATATACGAAGTTATTCCGGGTGACGAAAGCGTGATTAGTACACAGGGTTTGGTATCGTGTGAAAACACCAAGCTAGCACTCGCGAAGTGGACGACTGTGGGTAACTTGGAGACGTCCCCAGATATTCCTCCGGCCCTACCTGAGAGAAAATACACGGGTCAGAAAATGGACCCCCCGATCCCTCCAAGGTGCGTGAACGTGTGTAACAACAGTGCTTCAAACAGAGGGGAACGTTCCCTCGTTTTGTGTGATTCTTCAAACCAGGACTACGCGATTGTGTGTAAAAAGAAATCGCTTGATAACGTGTCTCTCGATGGATACTTGGGTCGACAGGACGACTGTGATGCTTTGTCGGACTTAGACAGTGAGTTGTACGCCCGTGTCTGCCCCCTCAACCCAGACAGAGGAACACTTTTGATTTTTCCGACCTTACGTCAGAGACATACTGTCGTTTGGACCCCGTGAAACAGGTCCAGGAAATAGACCAGTGGTCGTCAGGTGACGTCCTCAACTTCATCGATGGCATCCACGAACATCACACGCCTAAAACCAGGGCGAATATCTACACCCTGCTCCAAAACAGCAAAACGAGAGCAAAATTTTCGGAGTCACTGGAAATAGAAACCCAGTTATTACATAAAGGATTATTATGTAACCCTTGGGTAGAGGTCAGTAATGACGTCATGGAGCCGATGACGTCAGAGTCATTCAAACGTGATTTCCGGCATGAGATTCAGCCTTCCTACGTATAAACTCTGGCTGGGTTGATATGATGTGTATTGACTGTGATAAACTGATCAGAGTGTGAATCCATCCACGAATCATGGAACCTATGCATGAACATGACCTCTGACACGTGGACATGACCTGCCTGTGCTAGTATTTATTATTGACTGTATTCCATGATCCACTTCTGGGACTTGTAATCCATAATTATCACCATATGATTTAACAAAGGTCGGAATAGCGACCTCGTATGATTGGTTGGCGTGAATGTCATTGAATTTGATACAACTGAGTGATCTTTGGTATGAATGGTGTACTCACTGGGGAATCATCATATCATCTGTGTATGATTGGTATACCCGCGGAGTGATCTCATGTATGTGTCCCTTCTGTGTGATTGGTGAACCTACGCGGTGTGATCTGTATATTGTTATTTGGTCTCTGATATCATGGATGAATGTGATACCGCTGTGTGATATCATATGTGTATGGATGCCCGGAATATGTAAAGAGGATACTTTGTATGATCTGTTTTTAATGCTCAGTAAACAATACTTTCATAGACACGTGTATGGTTCTTTTTTACCTACTTTGCCGTTGGACTGAAGTGAGTGAGTTTAGTTTTACGCCGCACCCAGCAATATTACAGCTATATGGCGGCGGTCTGTAAATAATCCGAGTCTGGACCACAATCCAGTGATCAACAGCATGAGCATCGATCTACCTACTGAGTAAGGTCTTGTGCCGCTTTTAGCAACATTCCAGGGACAGAGGGCACCTGCAACGTGTGGGGTCCGAACCCGTGCCTTCGTCGTGATGAGCGAACACTTTAACCACTAGGCTACACCATTGCTCTTGATGTTATCTACCCAAGCCAGGTTATTGGCTGTCTAATATTTGAGATGGGTGTTTTGTGTAGGTTGACACTTATTCGCTAAATTAGGTGTTGGCTGTGTGACCAGAGTGTGTGTCACTGTGAACGATCGCTGGAATATTGACGTCATCGTAAACCACTTCTCTACCTATTTAGTAAACGAGAGTATGGTATAGACGATTACATAAATCTACCACGAAATTAGGGCACAAATAGTGGCGTTAGCATATCGTGCCCTATATATGGGGAATAGAACGTAGTCTTAGGCGCGACGAACGACCGCTTTAACCACTGGGCTACCGACCAACATCTTTTCAAGAGCAGTAGATGACACATTTGTAAATGGGTAAAACGCTGTCTTCATTTTCATCAAGATATAACGACGATGTTCTTAAGGAATGACTGACTGACTGAATTTGGTTTTACGCCGCTTTTAGCAATATTCCAGCGACATCACGGCGGGGACACCAGAAATGGGCTTCACACATTGTACCCATGTGGGGATTCGGGTCTTCGGCGTGACGAGCCAACGCTTTAACCACTAGGCTACCCCACCGCCCCTGTTCTTAAGGAACAAACCCGTGAAGATCCGGGTTAGAATTGGTCTTCTGCAACCCATACTTGTTGTAAGAGGCAACGCGGGTGGACAGGCTCGCTGTATTAGTTTGATGCATGTCATCGTATCCCAACTGCAAGATCGATGCTCATGATGTCAATCACTGGATGGTGAGGTAGCACTGAGTGAGGCGTCAAACAACACATGAAACAAACTTAAGGAACAGCAGTTAAAGTACTAAGGAGATAAACAGTATGCGTTTTCATATGTCCGTTTTTGAAATACTGATAGCAGTATACAGTTTCGAAAGAGAGCGTTACCCGACTTATTTTCAACCATTCGGATTGCACTACACTCATTCATTTTACAGAGCTCATTAGGGGCTGGGGTAGCTTGGTGGTTAAAGCGTTTACTCCTCAGACCCGGGTTCGATTCCCCACATGGGTAAAATGTTTGAAGCCCATTTCTAGTGTCTCCCGCCATGATATTGCTGTAATATTCCTAAAAGCGGCCTAAAACTAAACTCACTCACTACAGAGCTCATTAGGCCAGCTGTCGCTAAGACCGATAGCCTAAACTCTCAGAGCCCGGTAATATTAATGTGTTTGTTTTCAAGAGGTACATTAACACAGCACGATGTACACTGTTTGGCTCGTCTCAAGACTTCAGTGATGGGAGATAGATTGATAGACTGTGATACACAGAGGAGTGCAGGTGGGGAGATGCTCGTGTCGTGAGAACCAGTCTGTGCCTTGTACTTTGTATCTACCGTTAACCAATCGTTGTACATTTCTCTGTCAGCTGTTCATATCACAGCTGTTTGTGCTTGTGTATTGTGAACTATGGTTTCACACACCTTATGGAGGGATTAAAGGATTAAGCTTACTTTTCTCCTAGGATTATCCACCTGTTCAACAAGTACTGGCCTTGGGCTTATAATCAAGAGGCGATTAAGGTTTTATGATTTCATAACGGGTTTAGTTACATCGCGAAAGCCCTTTACATTAATTATGTTTTTATAAAATCACTGCGGTCACGCGTGTTTTGGGGCAACGGTGGCCTGTTGTCTAGGTGGCCGCGGTTACTGTACGGAGTTACGTCTCTTAGGGGTGTAAGGATAATGTAATCGTGGTTTCGAGTTCTACATACGATATTACGTATAACTCCCAATTTTGCATCATATTTATGACATAACAACCACATTAAGGCGGGAGACACAGACATGGGCTTCATCCACAGCAATCAATTTAGGGAATCGAGACCTGGGTTGTACCACTCGACTACCCAACCGCCTTTGTTGCGAAGCATCTTCCGTACTCTTATAGTTTAACATAGTTAAGATAGACGTCTGTCCCATTTTCCTAGTCTGTCATACAGACCCTGAAGCAAATATATCCAAGAAATCCCACGCAAGTCTAGAAAATGTAGCAAGTCTAGATTTCCACAGATTCAGGAAGAAAGTCTCAGGGCTACTTTTTATTATATTTTGGTTTTTTTTTCAGTATGAGCCATTTTTCTGTAAATTATGTTCATTTCAGAGACTAGTTCTTAGTCTATCCTTTTCCCAGCCCTGCAATACTGAAGCCCTGAATGAAGCAACGCTAGATTTCCTCAGGTACTAAAGCACCCTTCTCACTGGGGCTCCTTTTCAATTTAAAATTGTTTGTTTCTATCAAAATTATATACATGTATATTCAGAGAATAAAGACTATTAGGATAGTCGCAAGGCTGTAGCATTGATGAAGTGTGACCTCGGACCTTCCGTAACAAGACCTGTCTGTACACGACACAGCAGCCTCTTGACCCTGACTGTGTCACCGTGTCCATCCATCATCTTTACTGGGAGGCTGATACCGGGACATCTGAACCTAATCGTGACCTTAGATCCTCGTTCTCACAGCCCCCTGTACTAGGGTGGCCTCAACGAGAAAAAACTAACCCTGCCAAATCCCCACCCTGTTACACAGCCCCGGGGCATATATTCGATACTCTGTGGTAGAGATATCTCAAGTAGCCTGAAACACTAAACATCTTATCTCCATCGTTTTGTTACTGTATTTTACAAAAAACAGTTAACCGACCGCATTCCGAGGGTCAAGATAGTCCTGGGACGAGGTCGTACCACGGTGGTTCGAGGCAATGAAGCTTACCATCAGAAGCAGTTCAAGAGTTCGATGTCGGATAAAAATCATAATTCCCCTCTTACGGTGTGTCCGGAGGGGGAGAGGAGGTGAAATCAACTTTTACATTCTTAATCAAATATTTAGCTATTTCAGTTGCCATATGCTACCGAGTAAATAACTAGCATTACTATCCAAGGAGCAGCGAAATGAAACTAAAAGGGTAGTACAAGTTACGAAATAATCTTTGTTCACCATGTGCGGTGTTTTTCCTAAACTTTTAAAGCTTTTCACATTAATTCAATAGGTATCAGTTCTAATATACATGTATTTTACCATGTATTAAATGGCATTTGTGACGTCATTCCATTGCCGATGTGACGTTAAATAAATTAACTTCACTCCACTCATTCTAATATATTTTACCATGTAATTTAATAGCATCACTATCAAAGGATTATTTTAACGAGTTTATAAATACAAGAGCGTCCAAGTTTAACACATTTTTGGTAGGCTGGTGCATATTATCAACTTCTGTAGATGAAATGTATGCAGGTTTATGAATGATTTTTGCGATTTTATTTTTGAAGATATCTTAGAGTCTGCCAGCATTTTCACATGTTTTATATTGTTTTTTTTGTTATTCTACACATGATTGCTTCCTGAATGTCCTTCACGCAGTCCGTATGGCCACATGGTATATGTGTATGTACATGTAACTGGTTGCTCCTAGTGGTATTCTGAAGCTGGTATGATGAAGAGGAACGATATTTATGATAGACAACTTCTTTACTGCAGTGGATGCGACGGTTCGGTGTAGATGCTAACACCGTTATCAAGCAAATCATACACAACATTATGCCCAAGAAAAATATACATGAAGGATACTGGAGTTTGAAGATGTTGATGTATAGCATGATGATAACGGTGCAATAAAGAAGTTGTATATTCATAACAAGATGTTCCTCTTCTGTCTAGCTATCTCCCAAACCCTGGGAATTATATAGAGGATCTAACTCAAGATTAGAAAGGTCGTGATTACCACAGCCTAGGAAATGATCTGGGCTCCTTTTGGACTTTATCATCATACTTTTTTTCTTTTAGATAGTTGTATTTGTATATTTAGATAAAATAACTGTATGTCAGGCTGGCATGCACCTTCTAGCCAGACAACGCACCAACGAGCACGGCCCCAACATGTACTGAGGTAGGCCTGACCAGCTGAGCTACCCGACTCTCCCTGGTCGATCTCCCGTCATCTAGAAGGCTAACAAATAGCAGCGACAACACTGGTAGCTACGATGCTGGCTGTACGCCGACTTGCCCATTAATCTAGCTTACTGTCGTACTTTGGAGATATACCTCTCGGCCCTTCGAGTGGAGAAGATCAAACATCTTGCTTATCTGTGTGATCAATAACTGTAATGAAAGTTTGTGTGTACTGACTGGGTTGGTGGGTGGGTGGGTGTGAGGTAGGGAGCTGGTTGGGTGGGTGAGCAAGTGTGTGGGTGAGCGAGTGAGTGGGTGGATGAGTGGGTGGATGAGTTGGTTGGGCGAGTGACTGCGTGGGAAGATGGTTGGGTGAGTTACCGGATGGGAAGTTGGTTGGGTGAGTTACTGTGTGGGAAGTTGGGTGTGTGGGTGGCTGGATGGGAAGTTGGTTGGGTGGGTGACTGGATGGGAAATTGGTTGGGCGGGTGGATCGGGTGGAAATGTGGGTGGGCGAGTGGATGGGTGGGAAGTTGGTTGGGCGGGTGGATGGGTGGAAAGAAGTTGGTTGGGTGGGTGGATGGGAGAGGGTGGATGGATGGGTGGGAAGTTGGGTTGGGTGGGTGACTGGATGGGAAGTTGGTGGCGAGGTGGGGAGTTGGTTGGTGGATCGGTGGGAAGTTGGTTGGGCGGGTGGATGGGTGGGAAGTTGGTTGGGCGGGTGGATGGGTGAGGAAGTTGGTTGGATCGGGTGGATGGGTGGATGGGTGGATGAAGTTGGTTGGGCGGGTGGATGGGTGAGG